ATTCTGTAAATTTCAACTCCTATTAGGCTATTAGCAATTTAGCAATTAATGTCTGTTTATTGCTTGTTTATGTATGAGGGTTGATATTCTCTCTCTGTAATGGACCTGGGTTGCTAGCATGCTAAAAGCATTCTGGCTGCTTAGATAATTAATTTGTTCAAGTAATTATAGTATTAAGAATTGGTTGGACTTGGTGTGAACTTGCTTGCTTTCATGCTTTTGCAGGCTGTTAGAACACAATTAGTGTTGGATAACTGCTGAGTTTTTTCCTATCTACCTTATAGAAAAAACACAGTGTTTATAAATATAGTTGAAAGATATCCGAAATACGCAACTTCTGAACTACATAGTTCCGAACTCCTCTTATCTTGAAAGTTTCAAGTTCCTGTCACTTACTGTGATGAGCAGTGGTAAGTGGCAACTGGAAACATATTTTTATCTGTATGTTGGTGAAAATTGCCACGAGTTTCTCAAAATTGTTGAATATGCTGAAAATATTATTAGTTACATTTTGGGCTCAAGAATTTTTTAAGAGAAGTATTGGCTGTTGAAATCTGTTGAAGAGTGCATTTTTTAATGTAACAGTGAGTAACTAACTGTAATGCCTACCATGATGGATCACGTAATTGACTTGATCAGTCTGTGGTGGTATTATGTTACACTGCAGCAGAAGTTTTACCATGAAATTGGTGTCCGAGTCATTAACTACAGCATAGGATTAATCTACTTGAAGGTTTGGAAATTAACATTACTCTTCCCTCAGTTGGTTTCCTTGACATAGTATAACTTGTCTAAACAAGTTTTGGTATTTTTCCTCTATTATCTGTGGGCTTGATTGCATTTTTATCTTGTCATGTTCTGCCTCAGTTCCTGACAGATATTAGTGTTCTTATTTACTTAATGTACAGTTATTTCACCCCATAGGATTATTTGGGAAAGACTTCTGATTTTTATAACTATTTTGTTTGGGCTAATTTCACTGAAACGGTCTTTGGTTGACTTTACTGTACAAAGGTACTTCTTGAGGAAGTTGAAGAAGGTGAAGAAGAGCAACGGTCAGGTTCTTGCCATTAACGAGGTACACATTCCCTCGAGACATTTCTAGAACTTTCTGCACCTGCCTCTGGACCAGTGATATTTTAGTATCTCTAGCCAGATGATAATATAAAATTAGTAACTCTTCCTGCAATATGATGTTCGTTTTTGGTTCCGAGTGATGTTAAACACATTTTACATCTGCTAGAGAAAACTAGAAAAACATGTTTCTATTAAGAGGGTACGAAAACCATCGATTGATCTTTTTTTTTTCGTTTGTTTTTGCAGATCTTTGAGAAAAACCCGACAACTATAAAAAACTACGGTATCTGGCTGAGGTATCAGAGTCGGACAGGCTACCACAACATGTACAAGGAGTATCGTGACACGACTTTGAATGGTGGTGTGGAGCAAATGTACACTGAGATGGCTTCTCGACACAGGGTTCGCCACCATTGCATTCAGATCATCAAGACTGCCACTATCCCGGCCAAGCTCTGCAAGAGGGAGAGCACGAAGCAGTTTCACGACTCTAAAATCAAGTTCCCTTTGGTGTTCAGGAAGGTGAGGCCACCCACCAGGAAGCTCAAGACCACTTACAAGGCATCCAGGCCCAACCTGTTTATGTAATTTTCCCATTCAAAAGGGGATAAGAAGGAATTATCTGTGTTTGTTTTAAAGAACAGAAAAATCTGTTATTGACTTTTGAGGATTGTTCTCGGTTGTGGAATCATTTGCCCTTTTTTATTTTGTTTGGTGTAAGGCGCGATTTTGGCTCGTCGTGGATTTGGAGTTATGGAATGCAAGCACAATGAAAGCTTTTTATTTTATTTTATTTTATTTTCTTCATGTGGAGATTTTTCTAAAATGGCAGCAATATTTCGTATGAGATACAAAGTTATTCTTGTTCTGGGTGTTGGCACTTGAGATAATATCTCCAAAAGGTGCTTGTTTTTTGTAGTGCTTGCTGGTGATGGAATCATGGAATCACATCTAAATCTAATGAATCTATAGCACACACAAAAATAAAAAAAAAAAATAAAAAAAATCATGGAATCACATCTAAATCTAATGAATCTATAGCACACACAAAAATAAAAAAAAAAAATAAAAAAAATCATGGAATCACATCTAAATCTAATGAATCTATAGCACACACAAAAATAAAAAAAAAAAATAAAAAAAATCATGGAATCACATCTAAATCTAATGAATCTATAGCACACACAAAAATAAAAAAAAAAANACAAACCTTAACATTCTTGCCAATCCTTGCATTCTTATCGACTATAGCTTTCCTTACATACGAACCTTCTCCAATCCCGATGGAAATGCTATTGCCTTCCCCTTCACTCATCCCACTGCCATTCTGCAAATTTCGTTTGTTACTTACTACTGTTTGCTAAATTATTTGTAGTAATTAAAACCAATTATTTCCAGTAATTGTTTGCAGGTGTTATTCTCTGAGATAAGTGATTCCCCAGTATCACAACCAATGCACCTCAGTGGGGTAATTTTCAATAATTTCCTTCCAAACTGAAAAAAAAAAAGATAGACATATGATATAAATGCAATTTACTTACATGATCATAAGTATCAGATCCCATAATGACTGAGTCCTCAATAACTGCATGGTCTTGAACTCTTGTCCTCATACCAACTACTGTGCCCTTTATCCTACATTTCTGAGCAAACAGTAGGAAAAAAAAAAAAAAGGAAAATTACAGTAGCAATAAAAGGCCACCAATTTTACCTTAAATATGTATTTTTCTTAACGTACACTGAGAATGCAGCCATCTCCAATGAAAGAGTCCGTGATGACAGCATCGGCCACAAGAGTTGGAGGCAGATGACGTGGCAATGTGTACAGTGGAAAATCTCTGTCATACAAGCTGCTAACAAGAAACGAGTCCAGAATTACACGTTGCTATGGTTTATATTTTCAACATAACAAAAACTATACAATGTGTTAAAGTCATAGAGTTCAATACACTTGTATTTCACATATATGAAATTTTTTATAGTAGATGTAAAGCTTTTGTTTGAATTTGATTTGATTACTGATGGAACTGAAAATAAACGAGCTTCTATCAACCACGAAGTAGATGTTTTCACCTTGTATACTACTGTTTTATCTCTACTCATCAGTGAATCGAGTTTGTTTAAACTTAATCCATTTTATCTAACTAGTAAAGTACACGTGCGATGCACGTGACGACGAATGTTTTTTATCGATTAAATTTAGTAAGATAAATTAATTAATTTATTACACATATATATGATTGCAGGAACAAAATAAAATGTAGAATAAATAAACTTTTCATGCATTTTATTTTAAATAAAAAAATGTTGTCGTAATATAAAAAGATTTAAATATCATATTACAACTCCAACAAAAATATATGAAAAATGAGTTCCTAATGAAAAAACAATAAATGACTAAATAAAGACATAGTGTATATTATAGATGCATGAGTGATTTTATTTATTTATGTTGAATTCAAGAGTCATTTTCTTTTATTTAGTTTTGATGTTCTCATAAGAAACATTCACACTCGTTGAATTCGAATACATCAATAGTATTGCAAAATTCTTCTTAATTAATTTGGCAAAACGTCTGTTTTATTCAACACTTAGAAATACTTTAGCCAAACATATAGTCAAACTTTATGATTGTATGATCATTATAAGGTATTTCTTCTAATAGTTCATAAGTATCTATGTGAAATAAACAATTGTAGCATTAAATTTCTTGATATTTGTGTCATTAAAATTCTTGATATTTGTTTTAATCACTGTATAAACTACTACATTTGTCTCTCTCTCTCTCTCTCCACATAGATAAATTGGTACTTACCCCATGAGGTAAGAACGAATTTCATCTCTAAACAAAATTTGATTTTCTAAAATCATTTACTTCTCTGAAGATGCTAAATTATTTTTTTTGAAATCATCACACATTACATAAAAATATGTACTCTAAAACAATTGCGCGTATGATCGATTACAATACACAGTTATGATTGTAAATATTCTTATAAAAAAGTAACAACTTATTCAACATTCAAAAATATTTTGATCAGAATCAAACATTCCCTTTTCAGTGTTATTAATTTGGAAGATAGATATCTTGCATATTCTTTCGGATTTGCAATATATATGTGTCTAATAACATTTATTGTCCAATCTTTTGTATCATAACTAATGTTTAAAAAATTCAAGATAAAGATCCTTTATTGATTCTTCAATAATAACAAAACAAAACAAAACAATGAAACAATATTGAGAAGTATTTGTCAAAATATTTCAGATGAGAAGAATTTGAATTATACTATATTATGATACTCTTAGTCATCTGTTAACTTTATTATTATGAAGTCATTATTAAAGTTTGTGGTCTATCTTATGATAATATCGAATCATTATTTATGAGAACAAATTTCTTATAGAGAACATATACTTAAATGCTAGCAACAAAAAAAGTAGTAATTTTAAAAGATTTTTGTTTCTTGATATTAGTATTCATACTTTTCTAAAAAAATTCAGAATTTTTCTTTTCCTCATTGCATTACTATTGGTTTACTTTTTTTTTTTTTTTATTTTATTCACAAATAATATTTTATTTCTTGAAAGAATTAGAGAACATTTATATGCAATGCATTCTTTTTACGTGTTTGATAGTAATAATATACTTGATAAAAATGTAGTTTTATATTGTTTATAATATTAAAAAGTTTTGAATTTATTTCCATGTTCTGATAAAATATTAAGTAACTAATTCATGTTTATATTCACAAAAAATACATTTTACAACCATTATGGTGTTCCCTTTCAAGCAATAATTGAATAATAGTTTAACATACAACCGATTTATTTTTTTCTTTTAATTCACATATTTAATATTGGTAATAGTTGTACAATTACATCTAGTTGACTTTTTTCTTAGTATGAATATTTCAAATCTATGTCAGAAAAATATACCACAAGTTTATCTAATGTTATTTTATAATTAATAGATTTAATTTAACATGGATCTATAATTATTTTATAAGATTCTTTTAGGTCTATTTATTATTTTAAATTGATATTGATATATATATTGGTATATATATATATATTATTTTACATCGATATAAATAATTATATTATTTTTATTTTATTTACAAAACATTGGTAAAATCAAATATCATGGGAAAGAAATGATATGATATATTACATATAAAAGGGTAACAAAAAAAAAAAATCAGTATTTCAAAATTAAGAAATTTAATGGTAAAAATTAACTAATTTTTTAACTAAAAAATTATGACTAAAATACCGATTTCTAAGACAAAAAATTAAATATATTTTTTATAAATGTGCATCTCAAGTATATTTTACATTTATCATTCGCTAGCTCCAATTGATATATGACATTTATTAATTTTATCGTTTTTTTTTTTACTTTTGAGTGGAACGTCAGTTATAAGCTTCCCCGTTGTGTAGTTTTACTTTTTTATTACGTAGAATATCATTTTTACATCTTGTTTAGTATTAACATTACCTTTTCAGTAGAACATCACTCTGACCTCTTCTTTAATTATTATAATACTAATAAAATATTTAAGGACTTTTCAACTTATATGTATTTTTTTTAATTACTAATTATCATAAATTAAATGATAATTACATTAAATATGTTATATTTTGTATCATTATCAACAATTTTCAAAACAATTAACTGCACACAATATTATATATAGTGCAAATTTTTTAGTTTGATTTGGAGTCATACTTTTTCTACAAGAAAATGATGAAATTCCAATGAAAACATATTACAGCGAAATTTCAACAACAATTCTAACGAATATTTCAACGTTACAATTTTCGTTTAAATTTTTCAATGAAAATTATAACAAAAATATTTTGTTGCAATCATATGCAGATCCATGTTTGTCCAATAGTCCCGAAACTGACATCATCCCAAAACAAACATAAGATATCTAACAAACATTATGACACATTTTTCATAATTTTAATCATGTCCTCTATTTAGAAAATAAAATTAAAAGAATAAAGACAAATAATGATTAATTTACAACTCAACCAATCATAATTTAATTCAACTCATAACGTTATTAAAATTATAGCATCAATGCGGTTTCCCAACTAAAGAAAATATGTTATTAAAGTTTACAATTTTGCGCTCTATTTCTCTCTTTTCTTTTTATTCTTGATGATATCTTATTATCTCTCTTTTGAGACATAATTTTTGTCTAATTTTAGAAAATATATTTTAAGTCGTTTTTGAATGTATGTAGAATTCTAGTTATGAGAAAGTTGACAAATTATGAAAAGTATACTTTATAAATTATAATGACATTATGTTGTTTTGATGCAATACTTTTTGTATTAATTAGATAGTGCTCTTAACATGAAATTATTTTGGATTCGCCACTGCAGCTAGTTTTTCATTAGAGCTTCCATTGTTTTTCCCAATTTCAGTGACAATTTTTTTAATGGTTGAAATATGGCCGAAAAAGAAATCCAATGTAAATTCACACAAAAATAAATATTAGTAATTGAGATATTAAATCTTAAATTTACTCACCATTAGAATAGCCAGTGAATCTTTTCAATAGAAGCTATACCAATGAAATATCTGTTGGTATTTTCTGTGGAATACCTAAACAACATCGATTTTAAATATTTCACTAATATTTATTAATAAACTTGCAAAATTAAATAAATATTGTTGAAACAGTTATCTTATTTGATAGGATACTCACGGTTAAATAAACTCTTAAGTTTTATTGAGAAAATCATAAAAGTATTTAAGAATCTTGAATAATATCAATAAATAAAATATTTTATTTATAAAATTTTGAATTATAATCGTTCATAGAGCGCTCAACTTGATAATTAATTGTTCAAATAAAATAAGAATAATAATAATTAAAATGTCACGAACATTTTTATTAATAATTGAATGAAAAATTTCAAATACTTTAAGTCTTAATAATTAAAAAATTACGCAACTTGATTTTAATCACCTAATGGTCACGTGAAGATTCGTTAACTCTATTAGCTTTGCGACCAAAATTTTAAAATACAAACCACTAAACAATGACGATTTTTGTGGGATCAAAATTCAATCCAATAAAACTAAGGTGCAATCTAATTCTAGTTCTAAATACAAGAGTTTATTTTTCTTAAATAATGACCTAGTTAAATGAATTCTTCCATTATTCTAGTTTGTTAGATTATGTATATATTTCACGTGTGCATGATTTCGGTAATATTTTAGGTATCTTCTCTTAATTAAAGTTATGTATGTATCTTGGAAATTATTTATTATATAAAATTTACCCCTCTACTAAGTTATCATGTTTTACCAATATTTATCGTTTTGTTAAAAGATAGGTAAACAAATAATTGAGAATATTTAGATCATTTATAAGTATTTATTATGTTGTTTGTTGCATAATTTTTTGTTTAAATAAATTTTATATATTAAAATCATTAAATATGATTACGATTTTATCATCAAAAGTATATTAAAAATAAGTACGTTATTCAAAACAAAAATTCAATATCATTTCAAAACTTTGTTGCTTGGGTTACTGTTGAGTTGATTTTTTAGAGATATGGAAGAAAACAGTTTGAGAGATATGTGGAAGAAACCAAATTCTTGAAGAATAATGGTATGAATATTGTGGATGATTTTTAAGAGATGTGGAATGTTTTGTTCATTTAATTGTATTAAATGAATAAAATATTAAATGAGTAGTAGTGTATTACTAATTTGACATTCAAAATATGTCAAATAAAGGGCTTTTTAGGTAAATATTAGTTATTAATAAAAAAAATATAAGATGGGATATATATTATGTTATTACTAATTTGCCATTTAAAATATACCAAAGGAAGGGTATATTAGTTAGTTCTTTCTTTTACAAAAATACTCGTTCTTTTATAGTAGTATTTTGAGTTACCATTTTAGTTAGCACAACATTTAGACATAGAATATAATAAAACATTTGGACTAAATATTGTATAAGATTATTTTGTAGATATATTGTTTACAAGAACCAATTTGTTTTGGTGAACTTCTGTGGAAGAGTTATTTTTTTTCCAACAGCTACTTAGCTAAGAGATCATAACAATTTCTTCAAAGACCACCTCAATCTCCATCACTTTTAGTAAAATTTAGAATTATTTGAGTCATACTTTGGGCGTGGATCATAATAGTCTTCAATGTTACGCTGTTATTTATTTAATTAAATATTAGTGATTAACTAAAAAATATAAGATTTGAAAAGTATTAGTGTATTAATAATTTGACATTAAAATTAAGTCAAAGTAAAGGTTTTTTAGGTAGTTCATTTGTTAATTAAAAATATAAAATAAGATGAGTATTACTGTATTACTAATTTGCCATTAAAAATATGTCAAAGTAAGGATTTTTTAGGCAGATCATCATTTGTTAATTAAAAATATAAAATAAGACGGGTATTACTGAATTACTAATTTGCCATTAAATATATGTCAAAGTAAGGGTTTTTTAGGCAAATCATTATTTTTACAAAATCACTCGTCCTTTTATAATAGTATAGAAATAACTAAGCTCAGCTCGGATAATGACCGTTTTAATCATATATTTGTGCATTTATCTACCTGAAAGCTTTATTTGTCCTTTGAAGGGTATCCATATTTGCATGGTAATAAGCTTCTATGCTTCTCATATCCTTCCAATAACCATCGAAGCCGTAGCCATGAACCTACCAAGTTTTTCGAAAGAAGAAAAACCGAAAACTAGAAAGTCGTTGAACTGTGAAATCATTCATATGAGTGACCTATATAGTTAATGAACCAAAAAAAAAAAAAAA